GGGGAGATGAGGTCCCAGTGTGGAGATCAATAAGTATTAAGAGACTGGAATAAAATTCACCAATTTTTTTCAACAACACTAATAAAAGAGGTAGATACGAGATGGTAACTTCAGGGCTAACCTCAATAAGGGGCGAGTAGAGATTTGCAGATTTGCCAGCAAGTTCTTCACCTCTTAATTCCTACCACATAAAGTCAAGAAAGTTTAGTGACACATTTAAGTCTTTCAGAAACGAGAATACAGTAAAAAGGAGAGCCTATTATGCTTCAGGACAGAAGAGGCTGCGATCTTAGCCACATGACAGCAGCACCCAGGCCATCTGGAAAGAGGAATGAACCAAGCGGACCACTGCATCAGGAAGATCTTCATCCCAGCACAGCCAGTAAGGTGTGACAATCCTCTCAGATGAGCAGCACAGGTAAATAAAACGCCCTCCTCCACAAAACAGAATGGAAAAGCTCTAAGTCCACTTTCAGGTTCAAAACTTGAAAGCACTTGAACCCAAAGCCTCTCAATTCATCCCAAATAATTAAACACTATGCAGAAAGCAAAATCCAATACACGTATTTTGAAGTGATGATGGCCTTAGTGGGAGAAACTTAAGTGAGAAACCTTTAAAAAGACAGACAAGAGTTTGAGAAAGTTTCTTAAGGAGAGGTCACTAATCAATACTATTTTGATACATTGTATGCACATCTGTTAGAAATGCAATTTTTTTTTCCATCCAGGAAAGCCCTTTAGGTCTCCGTAATAAGGGGTTGGGCCCATTAATGAATGCAGAATCTGACTCAAAGGAGTGGGGTGGGAAGTTACGGGTACATAGAAACTGCTGCTTGGCGTGCTCTGTCAACCTATCTTTCAGAAGATAATGGTTCTACCCAAACACTGTGGTTTAATCAGTGCATATCTCAGCACCAACAATGGATCACATCCAATGTTTGGGAGAGTAATAAAAAATTTTTAAAACTTAGGCCAATGCAAAGTGGAGAAAAAGTTCCTTCTTTGCCCCATTGGAGCACCTTACATCCTAATTCCTTATATCCTATATTCTGGTGTCTTAATGCAAAGAAAAATATTTTTTTTTCATTTCAAAATCTCTACACTCCCCCAAGCCTGGGACTGAAGGCAAGCCCCTAGCCAGACCTAGGCTCCTCACTCAGCCAACAGTCCTCGCCGGTAAATCCAACGCACTTCCTCCACGTCCTCCTGCCGAGCTCCGGGGCCAATTCTGTGGCCCACATCCCAGCACCCAGAGCCCCAACTCCGCACCCCCAATAGACTTCCGCCCCACTGGCTTCCCAGTTAACCTTCGCCCCAGCCCCCACCCCACCTTTGTCTCGCAACCCCTACCACACCAGCTCGACGCTCCCCCACTGCCCACCGCAGCACGCCCCCCAC